GAGGTTGTGGGGGAGGCTCTAGTGTTTTATCACAGACACATCCCATGTGAAGGTTCTGTTTGTTGTTTGGTAAACTTCCTGCCCTTTTATGGCTTCACCTGTTTTGTGCATGGTGAACCAATAGAGAAATTGAGCCATATATTGGGTGTAGGAGAGATTACCCTCTTTTGACCAAGGATGTTGTTAAAACAGTTGTGATCAGGAAGTCACGCACACAGAGACACACACACAGTGCCTTGTCTTTTGTAACTATAGGGGGGTTTTACGAGGGGAGGTGCTTGTGTTGTGTAAACTGTAACTGTTATGAGAATAAAAGGCTACGAGGAGGGCTGCTCTTTGAAGGAGTTGGTCGGAGACAGGTGAGGAGCGTTAAGCTCCAAGAGCCTGGTTCCAACCAGCCTTCCCTCGCTAGCAAGTAAAAGACCGGTTGAAGATGTTCTGTCTTGCTTTCTTCATGAGGAATACGTTTCTAAACTAGCGGGGCCTGTGGAAGCACAGACCCCGCTAGGGACATGCGCAATAGGGGGGGTGCGTTTTTAAAACGCTGTATTTTTGATTACAATATCAACAAACTGTCCGTGTTTCAGGTGCTCGGTGCTGTACAGCGCCTCCGGTGGCTGTGAATACATGATCAAGAGATGTTGAATGGAAGGAATGAAACGAGGCGTGAGGAGTCTTTTCCTGATGCTGTAATAATGTTTAGCATAAAAGTCATCCTCCAAGTGTCACAGCGGGACGGAATGGACACACGCGCAGGCTCTGAGTTGGGAAACACAAGAATCTTTATTACAGCACACCAGGTGATCTATTTACAGAGGTGAGGGGGGAAGCCGGGCTCCGGGGGTCCACACACAAAGGGAAAAGACTTTGAAAGTCCACACGCACTCCGTCCACTCCTTACGCTCCTCTCCACACTCCACAGAAAACACGATGACGTACTCCACTCCTCGCACACTCAATCACTCAGGAAACACAGGGGTTGGTCCAGGGAATGCGGGTCGGCAACGGTCCAGCGACAAGAAACACAGATATTATACATCTCGTTGGTGTAGTGGTTTCCTCCATTGAAATCCACCATTTCACTATTTCATCCAAAAGACAGCCCCAGAGTGTCGATCACAGCGATATTTTTTCCGTCTTTGCCCTCTGCCTCTTTTCTGAGACAGCCGTCGGTGACAGACTCAGGCGAAACGTCTTCTTTGAAAGCGTTCGCATCCCCCAGGATGGTGTTTCCGGATGCACTCTTTCCCAATCCTGTTTTACCGACCAGAAGGAGTCTCAGTTCTTCACGGGTCGCAGAGCCTGCGGGGTTGGGGAAATGATGGTAACATTTGAATCATTCTAGAAAAAAAAAAAACATAAAACACTACGTTACACTAGGCTATTCTTTTGTTATCTTTGTATTGATGTTGACAGCAAGCAGTTTGTCCACATAAAGCGAGTACCACCAGCAGTACACAACCCTGGGATTGCACTTTACCTTTGTATCGATGTTGACAGCGAGCAGTTTGCCCATATAACGCCAGTAGCACAAGCAGCACACATCCCTGGATCCGAATGTCGCCAACATTTTCAGTAAGCTAAGAAAAGAAGAAAGAAAAAAGAGGTGAAATTAAGGCACATTCAAGGAAAGTATTTCAGATCAGATTAGCAAGTTAAACCACACTGAAAATACACGTTGAATAAACCATGGCCCCAAACTGGT